ACAAAGCCCAGAAAAAATAAAAAAAAATAATAAAAATATGCATGAATATGTGTGTTGCATCCATGGTCCGTACATGTGTGCGTGTGTATGTGTACATGTGTTTGTGCATGTGTGTGCGTTTGTGTGTGTGTGTGTGTGTGTGTGTGTGTGTGTGTGTGTGTGTGTGTGTGTATGCACGCGTGTGTGCGTGCGTGCGTGTGTGTGTTGTGTGTGTGTGTGTATGTTCGTGTGCCCGGGTGAGTGTGTATAAGTGTGCTTTTAGTATACTTGATAAGAAATGACTCTTACTATTGAGTTAGTTTTAACAGATTTTCCGCCTCGTTGTATGTCAACTTACGCAACCATAATAAAACTTTGGATTTAAGTTGATATATAGACAGGTTTCTAACTTTATTATTTACACTAAAGTAATTGTAAAGTGTTGGTGCCTGGAATTGATAATGCTGTCGAGCAATCTTACATCTCACACGCTCAACTGTGATATGAATGTGCAACTGTGTGTGAATGTTCTCGTCTTTTTCCAGTGGAGGGTAGATACGGTACCGCAAGTTTATGGTATTTTTTAATGCAATTGTAGATATAGAATTGACGCACAGAAAGTACGTTTGCCGTTTTGAATAGTTCAGTAGTTGAATGCATAAATGGAAGGTATAATATTACTTTGAGGAGAGATCTTTGTGCTCGTTCCAGTTCTATTAAATTTGTTTTTGCTGCTGCCCCCCACGAACATATACAATATGTAATTAAACATTCCGCAAGTGCTTTATAAATTTGTATTAAAATTGTAGGTTTAAACACATAAACTAATTTTCTGAGTCTATTAGCAACAGATGTTATGTGCTGTTTCCAGTTGATCTTGTCATCAATACTTATTCCTAGATATTTTATAACTTTTACGTATCTTTCAATTAATGAGCAAGCACATGATTTATTCTTGGTATTGACTTGTCGATTGCAAGGGTAAGAATGGATTTGTAAACTAAAAGATTTGGGTGAGTTAATATTAGTTTTACTGAAACACATATATTTTGTTTTATTTGTGTTCAGTGTTTGCAAGCTATTTTCTAACCATGATGTAATAGTACGAAGACCGTTTTCAGCAAGACGATGTACATGTTCCCAAGACTTGCCATGAAACAGTATGACTGTATCATCGGCAAACATTTGAATATCAGCACCCTTAAGATTAGTTTTACACAGATCGTTTATGTAAATTAAAAAAAGACTTGGCCGAGTGTACTGCCTTGTACGGTGTGCCGTAAGAGGAGCTGAATTCATTACTTAATAAGCCATTAACTTTAACACGTTGCTTTCTATCCGAAAGTAATCCTGCAAACACATAAGCGCATTTCCCCTGATTCCCATATTTTCCAAACGTGTTAATAATATTGGAACAGATACGGTATCGAATGCCTTTTGAAGGTCCAGGAATACTCCCATCACTTTTTCATTTTTATCAAGATAACGTGTAATATTTGTAGTAAGTTGAAGGACAGCGTCATCTGTGGACCTGTTGGCACGAAAACGAAATTGATTTTTATCTAAAAGCTCATTCTTTTTTAAATAATTCCTTAATCGCTTGTTAAATATTTTTTCGAGAACCTATGACATTGTGCTTAAAAGTGAAATTGGGCGATAGTTAGTCGGTGAAGATTTATCTCCAGATTTATATATGGGACAGACAATTGCGTTTTTATAGATTTTGGGGAAAACACCATATTCAAATGTCAAATTAATTAAATATGCAAAAGGTTCCGAAATATATTTTATGTTGTCTTTTAAAATTTTGGACGTAATACAATCATATCCTGATGAGTTACTAGATTTAATACTGCAGATGACGCTTGAAACTTCCACTGAATCAGTTAGGTAGACGGACATTGAGCCATTTGGTGCATCTTTGCATTTTGCCAATAGAGAAAGAGAACTGTCAGTAGTGTTAAGTTTGGATAAGATATCATTTGCAAGACTATTACCAACAGTTGCGAAAAACCTGTTAACGTTGTCAAGAGAGTGAGTAGTATTTAAACCTTTTTTGAGTAAATCTGAGGAAGATTCTTTCCTTTTTTCCATATTAATAATTCCTTTATTGTATTCCAAGTTTCTTTCATATTTCCTTTATTTTTTTCTAATAACACTTTATAACAATTTCTTTTTAATTGTTTTATTAATCTATTTAATGTGTTACGATAGTTTCGGTATGTGTGTCCCAATTTCTCATTATTTAAATCTTTTTTTAATTTTTTGTGCATTTTATCTCTCTTTCGAATTGAATTAACAATTCCCACAGTAATCCAAGGCTTGAGTGGTATTTTACGTTTAGATATTTTACTAGTAATTGTGTTGTCCTTAATAGCTTTTTCTAATTTTGATGTCAGAATCTGTGCTGCATGATTTACATCTTTAGTTGAGTATAAGTCATCTCAAGACTCAGCCGTCATCATTTTTTGTACGCCAGCAAGATCAACTTTTACTTAATTAAGCATCTGTGTTTTTCTACATACTTTAGTAAAATACATATGTAAAAAAATAGGAGAATGGTCTGTAAATTCGTCAAAAACATATGTTTGACATTTAGCATAAGACTTAACCATGAAATGATCCAAACAAGTTTTTTTGTCGAGTTGGACTGTTTACACCTTGTTTAAGTCCGAACGTAGCCATAAGATTTAAATATGCAGTTGAATAGTTATTAAGATTATCTGGCATAACATCAAGATTAATGTCTCCGGTTAAAACAATATCACATTTATTACGACAATTATTTAAAATATCATCCAGAGAGTTGATATAATTCATAGGGTTTTTATAACATGGTGGACGATATGTACAAAGCACAGAAAGAGTATCTTTTAGGTCAATTACTAAACAATTACCATCGATAAGACACGGCTCATAGGCTGTTGACTCAAGTTCATTCCGAACATAAACAACCACACCGTCGTTTTTATTAAGATTAATAAGAGTTTGAAACATTTTGTAGTCGTGAATGTTAGGTGGTATATAATATTTATTTGTCCAACATTCAGTTAATGCGAGCACATCAATTGTAAAGTTAAATTTGGACAAAAATATCAAAAACCTATCGAAATTAGCATTAATACTGCGTATATTAACAGTAAGAATTCTTTCCGACTGATAATAAAGTAACACGCAATATGGTCCGATTCTTCAATATCGTCCATAACGATAGTATCTATAGAATTAAAGTTTAACTGTTAAAAATTCCAATTCATAATTTATGAGAACAAGGTGGGTAGTTATAAATTTGGATGATAAAACAATTGTCGTTACCTTTAGACACATATTTGTGCTACCCTCAATAATTTACGTAAAGAGATAAAAAACTTAATTCATTGTTAAACTGTAACATATTAAAAAACAGGTCCGTAATAACTATAAGTAGCAATAATGTTATGATAAACATAAAATATAAATAGTCATTCATGTTGTTAGTCGATAAAAGCGTTAATACATTTATTTCATGTGTGAATTTTATTATAGAATCGTAACATTTAAGCTGCCTAAGGTATGATTTAACATAATAATGATATTTAAATTTAATATAAAGGTAATAGAGCAATATTTTAGGAATATGATTAGTGTAGTAATATGTAATATTTAAAACAATATTTTAACGAGTCATATTTATGTGCGAGTAGTTTATAAAGTTGTGTAATGGTGTAAGTGTTTAAGCAAAGTACGCAATTAACAGAAATCAATAAGGGAAATACATGAATAACATTGCAACATACTATATAAAGTTGAAAAAATGTAATAAGTATTAGCCAAGATAACGGTATTGTAACATTACATAGTCAGTTTATAGTTTTGAGCTTGTCAAGGTCCACCTCACTGTTGATTCGTATGGCCGGGCTGGAATCTGCTTTGCGTATGTAGACATTACCGTGACTCGTCCATATGTATTTATAATAATTATTATCATGACCAAAATTCCGAGCTATGTAAAATAATCGCTTAATTTTCGGAGTTAGATTCTCCGAAATGTACACAATAGCCGGGGGACCTGCTTTCTTTAGATTCTCGGTTGTAAGTGATTTTTTATTCTTCCTGTACTTTTTCATTGAGGTAAGAATTTCCTCCTTTATGTTGACGTTGGCAAATTCAACTATTATAGGGTTAGGCGTAAACGATTTAGACTTAGATTGAAGCCTAAAAATATCCCGTATCTCTCTATCTTCAATTGTGACATTGAGCTTCGTGCAAACCTTTCTTACGATATTCTGGATATCCCGCTTAAGTTCTGGCTGATTTTGGGTAACATTTCTCATTTCAATACTGCACGATCGGGCTTTGGGCTCCAAGCCTTCAATCCTGTCTTCTAGTGCTTTGATGCAGGTCAAGCTAGCCTTGCGGTCAGCTTCTAAGATTTCCATTTTTTCTCTCATTTCCTCATATTTACTCGATATGAATTCAAGTGACTTAAAAATATCAACATTTTGATCTTTTATTTCCTTTAAGGTGTTTTCCAACGAAGATAGTTTGTTTTCTTTTAATTGGTTAGCTAAAATTATATCTTTAATAGACTTATCAATTGAATTAAATTTCACTTCTTGTTGCAGTATATTTATTTGATGACAACATTTCTTTGATTTCGTCCATATAGTCCTTTATATTAATGTAATCGGTTTGCTCGTCATCGCGCTTGCGCTTTATCCTGCATGAAATATGTCTTTTAGCGCTAGATAGCTCAGGCTCCGAGTCGAGGCGGTGTACGATACCATTAAGTTACTGTTAGCTAGTTGTCGAATAGTATCAGGGCGGCAGAAGAATTAATACGTATAATTTGCACTTAGTACAGACACAGTATAAATACATACACAGATGTATATCTATTTCACTCTCACAAACACAAACCACGAACGAACTATGTTGACTGCTCACTTTTATTTACATCACACAAGCATAACACAGTATTACGGATCTGAGTGTGATACGTTATGCGCTCCTAATATTTTCGAACAATTAACTATTTAAAAATGATTATTTTTCTTGATCCACTGACGCGTCTTATCGCTACGGAAGCACGCAGGGAAGCGGTTATTATGTCGGACTCAGAAGATGATCCAGACTACCAGCCGTCTACAGACGAAGAGTCGGAGAGGGAGAGTAGGTGTTCTGATCGTAGTTCATCTAAAGAAAGCACAGAATTACCTGCAAACGGACGCCAACAACAAGACAACAACACAAGATCTCAGAGTATGCCGAATTCGAGCTGGAATATACCCTCATCAGATGGCTCAAGAAAAAAGCAGTTTCCGTTTACAGCTGTCCCAGGTATGAAGAATATTCATTCAGATTGTCAAAGTGAATTAGACTTTTTCCGTTTATTTTTGGAAAACGAAATTATTGATTTGATGATACATATGACCAACTCGTACGCATCAAAAACACAAATACTTAGACGTGTAACACGGAATAGTCGATTGTCTAAGTGTTACGATTGTGATGCTGCCGAAATGAAGAAATTTATTGGCTTATTGATTTGGATGGGGCTCAAAAAACTGCCAAAAATAAGTGATTATTGGAGTACGGATGTATTATATGAAAACAATGTTGCGAATAAAGTGATGAGTAGAAATCGTTTTGAAATATTACTTCGATGTTGGCATTTCGAAGATGCTTATTTTGTTGGCATGTCAGGAGCAGATCGACTGATAAAAATAAGACGTTTCGTAGAGATTCTTTCAAACAAATTGGATCAATACAAAACACCTGGAGAATTTCTTACTATTGATGAAACAATGGTAGGTTTTCGTGGCCGGATTGCTTTTATGCAGTACATACCTGGAAAGCGACATAAATGTGCAATAAAGTTATTTAAAATATGCAACGACGATGGATATACCTACTATTTAATTGTATATGAAGGAAATAAGACCACGACAACGACACAAAACATATCAAAAACTCAGTGAAAAGTATTTGAATGCCGGAAGAAGTATCGTAACGAATAATTACTATACAAGTGTAACCGGCAAATAATTTACTACAGCAAAACTCTCATTTATTGGAGACTCTCAGAAAGAACAGGAAAGGGCTGCCAAAAGAAATATTAAAAGAGAAACTGAAGAAAGGCTTCAGTTTCTCTTTTAATTTTTACGATGGAAAGACAAGCGTGATGTGTTGACTCTATCAACTCGACATACACCTGGTTTTGTCAACGTGCGCAGCTGGAGAAACCGTAACAAAGTGACTATGAAACCAACCCTGATAGCGGACTATAATCGTCATAAATGTTCTATTGACTACTCAGATCAAATGGGTAGTTATTCTAATCCAGCAAGGAGAAGCTTGCGATGGTTTCAAAAATTAGCTATAGAGCTTTTATTTAGCACATCTTTGATCAATGCTTTTATATTGTTCAAATCTTCCAAGAACTTGACGTCCAAAAAATATACCATAACAACATTTAAGGAAAATATTTGCAGTGCATTGATGGGTCTTGACAAACCAAGAAGACAAAATAACCAGAGTTGCTCAAATGGACACCAATTTGGAAAGTCTCCGTTGGTCGACCATCGTAACCGAATAGTCAGAAGAAGGTGCATCCACTGCTGTGAAAAGAAGAGAGAAGAAGGTTTGACAAGCATAGAAGCATGTAAAATAACTAAGAAAGTCAATACGGTGTGCTTACTCTGCCCATCAAAACCCAGTGTATGCTCAGAATGCTTTGCTAACTTCCATTGCAGCATTATATAGCAGTAGTTATATCAATTAATGAATAAATCTAAGTTCCTTTTAATTTTAAGTTGCTTTTTTATTTCTGTGATTAATCCCCTAGTAATCCTCTAATGAAAAGATACACATATATTTTTTTTTAAATTATAGGTAACAAAGTAAACTTTGCTTATAGTAGCTTCTTTTTTCTGTAACAGCAGGCCATGCACTACAAAATTAATAAGAGAGAGTCACGTCACGTCAGTACGAGGTCATAGCGTACTGCACGGCTTGCTGGTAGAAATAAACCTGCCTGTTGTACTAAAAATATATATATAAAGGTGGCGTGCAGTTTTATTTGTATTATTACTAATTCTGTCATTCAATAAAAATAAAGAAAAATGAACTTTATTTCAAGCAAATTAAAGTCTTTGCGTTCGTGGATTTGTACTGTGACCACAGCATTCTTCCGGAATTAGTATAACTAATTTGGTAAATAATCAGTGCATAAAAATGTTTAACTAAAATTGAGTGTATGTATTATGATTATAACATAATATACTACGTGGGGGGACTGAGGGTGTGCGTTAATTACGTTACATATTGTGTATATATATATATATATATATATTTACTTCGTTGGTGGCAACTTCCCCACTAGAAGGAATGATAGAGTGACTAGAAGGAATGATTCAGGTGGTTCAGGACCTTGCTTTATATGGTTACATCCTCTGGAATTCAAGTTCTGGAATCAAAACCGTTTAATGAGTTTCCTGCCAGTATTTAATGAACCATTTCAATAACTTTTTTTTACAATTCCATGAGCTACGATTAAATCCCCCACACACATTTAAAATCACAATGCGCTTTCCTTTCTTTTTATACTGTTCAAAAATCGAATTATTTAAATTTAAAATAAATTGCGTCCAAATTGCGACATCACTCACGTAGGCGTCAGCTTACGAGTAATATAAGCGATACCTCCACCACACATTAGAGATGAGTTCTGTTTGGTTGGCTGTCGCATACACCGTCTATAGCTTAGTAAGTGGAAACTATGTTTACACTTGTGTGGACGCAAATTCTTTCATTTCATGTTACATTACATGTTATATTACGTAAGTCTGCACGCAGCATAATTTCATTTTATTTATTTTATTTTTATTTGGGGAGCTTACATTACTTTACATTTACGATCTAGATCACTATATTAAAACTTATATGACAATAAAAAGATTTCACATACAGGCATAATATAAATAATACATTCATAACAAATCTTTACTCAGACACATTTATTCTGAGATCTCAGAATAAGTCTAAATCTCTTGATATAAAATTATGTTAAATTTATGATATAAGAAAGCAGTGAACTTCTTTTGACTTTTTTCGATATTGTTTATATGATATGCATAGCACGGATTCCAAACTTGAGAAGCGTATTCTAGATGACCTACGGACGTAAGCACAATACAATATTTTTTAGTTTTCCTTGTTCTAAATTGTTTCATAGTATATTTGATGTTTAATTGTTTATTATTAAATTTAATAATGTTCACATATAAATTATTTATACAAGTCGCTAATAATATAGATTTAAAATAATCTGTTTTAAATTATGTTGTTTTCATTTAAATGTCTAGTACATAAATTGATAAACAATTTTGCAGCCAAACTTGACGGTTTCTTTTATTACCTAATCTGTATCAAGTTAATCATAGCCCCTTGTTGCGTTGAAGTTGATAAATGAGCCTTTTGTTACTACATTTAACGGTTCTAAGTACATCATAATATGGGGTATATGTAACATGATTGGAACTTCATATAATAGTAAGTGATATACCGTCAGTTTATTTTTGGTTATTTACAATTTGACTCTTTTAAACTAAGATGTTTTACTGCCACTGGACTTATTTCAAAATCATTGCTCCAGATCTGTTTCTTCATCTTCTTGTTTTTTATTAGGCACTTAGAAGTCCACGGCTGGGCGTGGGCCTCACCCGTAGAAGAGAGGTATGCAATAATCGCCATATTCAGCAGGCGGATTGGTGATCATATTACCTGACGTCTCGCATCATTGACGCTACCTCTTATCCATCTTATCCAGCTTAGGTTCTTTGTACCCTTTACTTGTAAATGAGATGTTATATTGCCATATAGTGAGTGAGGTGAGTCATAGGAGCTTGACACGAGAATTTTAGTCGCCGTGTTTTTATTCCGTATTTCGGTAAAAATAACAAGTTTTAAAGTGGAGTCTGCTTTCGCCAATTTGTCAAAGAATGTAGAAGCGTTGACAACAAAAATCACAACGCAAGTGACACTAATTGAAGCGCAGAATAAGAAGATAGAAAATCAGCAGCGCATTATTGAGAAATTGTTTTCGACGATAAGTGACCTGAAGAGGGTAATCAAAGAAATGCCCGCTAGAACAATCGACCTATTGCGGGCTGGGCAGTCGACCAGCGAGACCGACGTACAGACTAAGGTACTGACAGTCCCAAGTGCAAGCGAGACACCGATATCCTCAGATACGGTCGCTATAACAGAGAAAAAAATAACGCAGCGCGCGCGCCGAGCTGTGCAGCGGGCAAAAAAGGCTGTTTCCACACTGGAAGTAAACAATTCAGAAAAAGATGATTCAACTATAATTGAAACGTCTGCAACTGAAGAATGGAAAGTAGTAGGTGGCCATAAAAAGTCTAAGAAGGCCCATCTTAAGGCAATCCAAACTGGAGGAAACGCCCAAATCGGTTCGTTCCAGGCTATACAGAAGAAGAAGTTCTTACACGTGTGGTCACTCCATCTTGAAACCTCGGAAGATGCGATAAGGGAACACGTGAAAAAAATTTGTGGTTCTGAGGATATCAAAATTGAAAAGATTGTTCCAAAAACCAAGAGAGACTATTCGTCATTCAGGATTGGTGTACCAGAATCCACGTTTGAAAAAGTGAACTGCAGAGATAGTTGGCCAATACATACCCGATTTAATGAATGGGTGTGGTTTCGAAACACCCGTAAACCAGAAACAGATAATGAAAACCTGTTATAAGGGCATTAATGTTTACTACCAGAATGTTAGAGGACTTAGAACAAAATTATCTACCTTTTATTTGAATATTTTGGAGTCACCATACGACTTATTTGCAATTACGGAGTCAAGTCTTCATAGATCCATACATGACGGTGAACTTATACCACCTGGTTTCCAAATACTGCGATGCGATCGAGCTGATGGCCGCAAGCACGGAGGAGTATTTCTAGCTTCTTCGTCATCGCTGGAGTTGAAAAGTGTTCCTGTCGGCAATGTGGACACCGCCTTATTTGAAATTGTGTGTGCGACGGTACACCGTGATAAGAAGTTTATGTTTCTGTGTTGCGTTGTTTACATCCCACCGCATAGTGTAGCTAGAGAATACATGCAATTATTTCTTATATTAGAAAATATTTGTGTTAAATACAATAATGTTATAGTGCTTGGTGACTTTAATATGCCTTCAGCACCTGTGGAAATGCACAGTTATATGGAATATTTTAACGCCGTCTGTGGATTTCGCCAGGTAAACAATGTCCGTAATATTAACGACCGTACTTTAGATTTAGTATTTACAACGTTTTTAGCACGTGAAGTGGAGATAAAGTTGTGTAATGACCCGTTAGTAGATATTGACGTACAACATCCTCCGTATTTGTATGTCAGCGTGACGATGGGCACTGCCAGGGAGCAGCAGGTGCAACGCCTCTATTCTCGTGATGAGATTGATAAATCTTGTATTAAACGGAGATGGAATTTCTATAAAGCCAACTTTCATATATTGTACGATAGCTTTCAACAAATTGATTGGGGTAATTTGTATCAAATTGACACCCCGGAGGTAGCCATATCGTACCTATATACGGTTGTAAATGAGGTAGTAGACCGTTGTATTCCTAGAGCCCGTAGGGCCAAACTTAATAGGAATCATACCAGGTATGTTTACCCGGAATGGTACTCATCCGATTTAATACGCGACATAAAGCGAAAGTGGAGGTATCATAAACTGTATAAAATGACGAGTGCGCAATGTGATTACGAAGCGTTTGCTCGGTATCGATCTCAGATAAAATATAAGTTAAAAGTCAATTATGAAGCCTACCAGGAGAAATTACAGCTGAATTTTAAGGACGATCCGAAATCTTTTTGGAATTATGTAAGATGTAAGCAGTCTAGACGTAACAAAACTCGAGTAACAAAAAATGGTCTAGAGGTAAGTGAATCAGT